AGAAATTATATCAGAATTAATTGTTGACAGTAAACATGGTATTTGTGGGTCGGATCACTATGCGATAAGATTTGACATAAGACTTAACGCTAGAAAGAAAAAGTCTACCAAACGAAAAATCTATAGCTTCAAAAGGGCCAATTGGACCAATTTAAATAATGCACTGAATTCTGAAAACTGGGAACATCTACTTAGTGGTAAACCAGTCGAAGAGGCCTGGTCAGTTTTCAATACTATTTTCACTTCTCATTGTAATTCACATATTCCTAAGATATCTGTCTCCGATGAATTTCAACCCCCATGGTTTGACTCAGATGTCTTTGATTTATGTAGAAAAAAGGAGCGACTACATGACGAATGGAAACAGTCTTCTAATCCAAAAAAATATTTAAAATTTTCCAAAGCTAGGAGGGATTTTAAAAATCTCGTTGATGCAAAATTGGACGCAAACTTTGAAGATGATGATAACAGAAATCTCATTAACAAAAAGTTCTGGTCTTTTGTGAAATCTAAATCAAACTCTAATCGCATTCCTGAAACAGTCAGCTACAATGGTTGCCTACGGTCCGATCCGCAAGGACAGTGTGAGTTATTCAATAAATATTTTAACGAACAGTTTACAGAGGGTAGTGATTATGATATAGATATCGACTTTTCCAGTGACCGTGATTTTCAGGTCAATTTCGACACTTGTAAAATCAAAGGTTTACTTGAAAATATTGATCCAAGTAAAGCGCAAGGGGCCGACAATATCCATGGAAGAATTTTAAAGTACTGTTCAGTGAGCCTGTCTAAGCCTCTTGCTATCCTTTTTGAAGCTTCTTATAAAACTGGATGTATTCCAGCAGATTGGAAAATGGCAAACGTTGTTCCAGTTCATAAAAAAGGCTCTAAAATTGAAGTTAACAACTATAGGCCAATTTCTCTGACAAGCATTATTATGAAAGTTTACGAAAAAGTAATCCGGGATGAATTGCTCAATCGATGTGAACATCTTATTGATCAACGTCAACATGGTTTTATGAGTAGGAAATCATGTACAACTCAGCTAGTAAATTTCTGTGACAGCTTAGCCCTATCTCTCAATGACAATGTTCGCACTGACATAATATACTTTGATTTCCAAAAAGCTTTTGATTCTGTCAACCACGACATAATTCTGTTGAAGCTCAAAGAACAATATAACATTGATGCATCTCTACTGAGATTCTTCAAGTGCTACCTTGAAAACAGATACCAAAGGGTTGTCATTGGAAATAAAATGTCTGCTCCCTGTCAGGTTAGATCAGGTGTCCCCCAGGGCTCAATTTTAGGGCCTACTTTATTTATACTTTTTCTTAATGACATTACAGAGGATTTGTCACCGGAAACAAATATAACCATGTATGCTGATGATACAAAAATATGGCGTAGAATCACGTCCCAGGATGACCATTGGCTGCTCCAGCGGGATATTAACAGTCTTCAAAATTGGGCTCATCATAATAAGATGGTGTTTCACCCTTCAAAAAGTCACGTTCTTTCTATTACCCGAGCATATTCTATGAATCGTAGTGTTAATTTTGTGTACTCAATGAATGAAACGGCTATCGAATACACAGACATTGAAAAAGATCTTGGAGTACATATCAATAGTAAGTTAGATTGGTCACATCACTGTGATATGATATACTCTAAGGCTAGTCAGAGGTTAGGCCTTCTAAAAAGAACATGTTACTTCACCAAGAACACTAAAAAACGTCGGGCCTTCTATCTATCTCAGGTTAGAAGTCATTTCGAACACTGCACAATTGTCTGGCGGCCTCATTCAGAAACCTCGGTGGAGAAACTTGAATCGATACAAAAAAGAGGTATCAAGTGGATCCTTAATGATATTTACTTGAGCCTTAGGGACAAAAAAAGGTATTTCATAGCGTGTAAGGAACTAAATATCCTTCCACTCTCGGTAAGGTTTGATTACAAGGATATATTATATTTTCATAATATTTTTTATGACATGTCAGTTGTGACATTTCCACCTTACTTACGACGTTTCATGGGAAGTAGGTTAAGGCGATCACATCTAGACGATCTCAGTATGATTAGTGACATTTCTCCTCAAGTTCCACAAAACCTTACGTCAAGCCAGACCAGATGTTCAGGCATATCTAAGTCTTACTTTTACAGAGCACACATTCTTTGGAATAAACTCCCTTATGAATTAAGGGAAATCTCAAGGCCATCCGTGTTTAAAACCCATTTAATTAAGTACCTCTGGACAGTTCTAAACGACCATATAACATCCTCTGACAGTTAAACAATTTACCTTAATGTAACTATATTGTCTAAATATAAATTGATATGAAGTATAATTAATAAAATATGTTAAATAAAGTGTGTTTATAATTATGATTTATGGTACATTGTTATTTATTATATTTATATTTTAGGCTGTAACCTTATTAGTTCAATGGAATAAACCTAGCATGCCTTGGTTGCAGCATCGCTTCACTTATAGGTGCATTTAGGGCCCGATGTAATTGCTATGATCAGTTTACTGGTCAACTGGTGTTTCGGTGTCCCTTATTTTGTTTACACTCGGTCACTTGTCAAGGCATGTAAGGTCATTCGGCGATATTTTCTTTGAAATAAAATGATGTATTTGTGTAACAATTTGAAAGTTTATTGATAAAAAAAAAAAAAAACCGGTCGTTAATAAACCCGTCGTAATAATCCCGAGTAAGGTAGTCCTAATTTGAGCCTTGTCTCTAAAAACTTAACTGAACTAGCGTTTTGGTGTGTGCAAAAGCTCCCAGGCACGCGCATTCCTTGCCCCGTTAGTAACCTGTCCTTCCAAAACCAAACAAGCAGTCAAGGACAAAAAGTCATACACCAAATGGGCATTATATTTTATGAATTGTTTTACATCTTTTATTCTGTAAAATGTGCTAAAATTAAATTTCTTGTTTCATTGAAAAATTTCTTGTTTCATTGATTCATTATGTTGTTTGGATAGAACAAGCTTAGAAACAAGGTTTCAAGTTGCCTTGATGTTTTAGGCGGAAACTTCAGCTTTGTGGCGCTCACTGTAGGTGCCTCTGTATACCCTTCCAGCTGGTACTGGCTGTTTATGGACGATTGCCAAAGCTGTTCACTGTAATGTTTCATCACTGATTTACTGTAGCTGCATCCTTTTATTGATAGACAGGTGAGTTTTTCTAGATCATGGTTATTTATGATTTTTAGATCCTCATTAGTGGAGTGTTCAGGAAGTATCGAAGATTTCCACAATAGAAACTGAAATACATCTTTTACCTTTCCAGTTAGTGGGCTGTAACTGCCTGATTTCATTTGGTCATCAATAAGGTGTTTCAGTGGATCCTCTTTATTCGGGAATATATTCAGTTTAAGGATGTGCTTCACTGAGTTCACTTTGTTTGATATGTTGAGTGGCAACACACCAAGTATCATTTCAGCTGTAGTTAGTCTTACATTGAACACTGCACCCAAAGCTGCTTTTATAGTCCTATACCAAGCACTTTCAACTTCTTTGATACTTCTATTATTGATCCAGACAGTTCCAGCATAGTGGATTCGTGAATATATGAGAACTTCAATTAGCCTTACAATGACATGTTGTCTGAATCCCCAGTTGCGGTTTGTATACTTGCATATTGTAGCCCACCGGCCAAGTATCTTTCTGTTAATATCCTTTGCGTGCTCGATGTAGGTGAGCTTTCTATCCATTATCAAGCCTAGTACTTTGGTCTTTTCGACGAACTTGATGTCGTTGCTACCAAGACGAAATGACAATGGAAGAAGCGTTTCATCGTTTTCTGCAGTTCCAAATCCAATTAGTTCAGTTCACCCCCTTTTAAAAAGTCAACATCATTTTTGAAATACAACAATACATTTAATAAAGGGGAACATTCGATTCATTTTTGTTCAATCAAACACATCGAAATCTAAAGTTTCTGTTTAATCTTACAGTGTTAATCAAAATTCTCTCGGCCTTGATTTTATAGTTGTTTCTGATAGAGGGGAGTGATATTTATTAGTTGCTTTTGGTCCCATGGAAAAATATTGTTCCTGACCAAAATAATCGCCAGTCTAAGGTTTTGATAGTTCGGCCATTTTAAAAGTTTTTTGGCTGATTTTTTAACTGAACATTATTTACAATCCGTACAAGAAGCCCTTCAAAGGATTTTATAATTAAAATATACGTAGATGACGAAGTTACAGACCAAACAAGGTCGAGAGAAGCAAAATTGAAATTTTTGCAAAAATCAAAGTTGTATATTTTACCATTCATCCAGGTCATAAGATATCGCTTCAAAAGTTCTTGTGAGTGTAGCTGATGATCATATCCAACTTTTTGGAACAGGATTTCTCTCAATTTTGAGTTTTACAAAAATTTCAATTTTGCTCCTCTCGACCTTGTTTGGTCTGTAACTTCGTCATCTATATTTTAATTATAAAATCCTTTGAAGGGCTTTTTGTACGGATTGTAAATAATGTTCAGTTAAAAAATCAGCCACAAAACTTTTAAAATGGCCGATCTATCGGTATTACAGTGACAGATAACAGACTTCTCAAAATTTTAAAAATTTTCGAAAAAGAAAAATATTTTTTTTCTCGATGAGGGACTATTTTTAGAAAATTTTGAAAGTGTGCAATCCTATTCTTTTTGTCTATTTAACCATAATATAAAATAAAATCGATATTCGGAGCAAAAACGTTTTTAGTGTATCTCCCCTTAAGGTGCCCCTCCCCCTGCAGAGCGGGGCTAGAGAGGGCCTTTGGTATGCTGCTCTTATCTGATATATAAGGGCTTTTTTAAATGATGTACAATGTAATGTGACGTAAATGTAGCTAAGAATGGTTATTTTTTGTTATATTAAAAGTTCAGAAATTTGTTTGCTTAATAATAATATTTGTTTGAACTGTGATTAGTGAATCACAATTAAACCATTCATAATTAAACCAAACCTAACGTATGATTCTCCTCTCCCCACAGCTAAAATTGAAGAACATAATGAATTTCTATTTGCAATTGATTGTTGGATTCTTTCTGGCATACGTCATTAAGAAGATCTTCTTGACTAAAAAAGATAAACAAATCCCTGGAATGGAACCTAGATCAAAAGACATGGGAAATTTAGAAGACTTAGGTCGGGCAGGGAGTTTACATCAATTTTTGGTTGGCTTGCATGATAAGTACGGAAAAATTGCATCTTTCTGGTTTGGAACTCAGCAAATTGTATCCATTTCATCTCCAGAGATGTTCAAAGAACAGCAAAGTGTATTTGACCGCCCATTGTTACTTTTTCAATTGTTTGAACCATTCATTGGCCCAAATTCGTTACAATATGCTAACAAGGATGATGGGAAGGGTAGAAGGAAAGAGTACGATCGTTCAATGTCACATAAAGCGGTTACTCGTTACTTGGGGGAGTTCAATGCAGCTGTCAATGAAATAATTGATATGCTTTGTAAAGATATGGAAGGAGGTATTAGTGAGCATGCTCTCTGTACACATATGGCTACATTTGCACTGAAGGTCGATCTGATGACATTATTTGGCAATGTATCAGATGATTCGAAGATTACTGAATTTCATAACAATTACAACGTCTGCTGGTCAGAAATGGGGTCCCGGTTGGGAGGAAAATTTCCAGAACCCGGCAGTGAGCAAGAAGAGAACTTCCAGACAGCATTGAATGGGGCAAAAGATTTTGTTAAAGGAGTTGTTGAAATCAGAGAGAAGCTGGAGATAACAGAAGAAAATGAGAGGTTTATTGATATCCTGATTAGACACTGTGCAGACGAAGACACCCTACTGAGTGATGCAATAACCTATGTTGTCGGAGGGTTCCACACCACTGCTAATTCTCTGGCCTGGGGTTTCTATTTCATAGCTGGTAATAGTGCTGTACAAGATAAACTTCATGCGGAAATATCAGAACATTGTGGAAAGCATGATTCAATAGGCATCTCCAGCATAAACAAATGTGTGTATTTGAAGCAGGTGTTTGATGAAACACTAAGGTGCTCCGTGCTGGCTCCATTTGCAGCTCGGTATCTTGATGAAGACATACTGCTTGGGGGTTACCCAATTCCTGGAGGAACTCCCATAGTCCATGCTCTGGGTGTTAGCCTTCAAAATCCTGAATACTTTCCTGAGCCTAGCAAATTTGATCCAGACAGATTTAGTCCAGAAAACATCAAAAACCGGCCAAGCACAGCTTTTCAGCCGTTTGGTGTTGGTAAGAGGATTTGTCCTGGTCATAGGTTTGCAAATATGGAGGCAGCGGTTTGCATTGCAGCAATGGTAAGGAAGTTCGAGATTGGACTGGTTGATGGGCAAAAGATAGAGCCTGTACATGGACTGGTGACTCATCCCTCTGCAGAGATTATGATTACTCTAAAACAGCGTCATTGAATCAGAGGGTTCAACCAGTATTGAAACAGTGTATTTTGTGTGACTTGATTAGACATTGCAATCATTTTTTATCCATGTCATGTTTTCACGTTATAATTAAATATTTTGTTGATATACTATTAGCACTCAGAATATCTATCATAATCTCGTAGGATTTAACATTGGTATTATTATCAATTACTGATTACTCTAAAGTATTGATTATTCAATGATAATAAAAAGTTTAAAAAATCAAAAGTAATTCTGCATGTTTGTAGTTAAACACTGTCATAAAGTTTTAGTTTTTAAACATAAAAGTAAATTAGATTGTTTTGCATGTAATATAATATACAAATGATTGATCTTGTAAGTTTTATGATCTTAGTTTGATGCAGTAAACTCTCAATTTATCAATTCATAAGGCTTTGCATAGAACACCAAATTCAGCAGGTCTTTAAAAAAATCCCTGAAAATATCAAAATAAGTATACACTACCTATACATAGTTATAAATTAAGGATTTGCTTTTCGTCGAAATTATTTTACGATTATTTAGATTTAAATCTTAAGACCGAACATATGATTTTTCTAGGTGTGCATGCAATGATTTATATAATTAAAAGGAAATGTTATGTTCTTATTGTATTTTTTAATTTTTCTATCTTGCCTTTTTTTCATTTTCTATCTCGCAGAAATATCCATTATATTCCATACAAAAAAAATCTTTCCAAAATACCACTATTTAAGTTTAAATAATATAACAATCGTAATCTCAATGAAGTTGCAATCAAGATATTACAAGCAGTTGTGGTTTAATTCTTTGTGTTACAGTTGAAAATGGTATGATGAACTTGTTCCCATGGTGATGTGAACCTGCTCATGGCAAATATAAAGTACTCGCCTCTGGAGGACCAGGAGATTGCGATAAAACACAATCCCTCAATCTTCTCCACCTCTAAAATATGCGGGTTTCTATCATGTATCCTGGTGGCTGGTTGCGTGTGCGTTTCCATAGCAATAGCAAAACTTCTCACTGAAAACAAGTTTCTACAGAGCCCGTACACGAACTACACCAGCTCCTACTCATTTGGTGTTGTGTCAGACTTTCAGCTGGACCTGAGTTCGGAGAAGTGCTGCAGTTACGAGACGGAGTATAGTTGTCTCTGCTGTCCTAACACCCCCAAACTACTGAACGCTACCTTTGTCTCGTTTGTTAAGGTCCTCAGAATGTATGTAAACACAAAGTTTATACTTTACTTGGGAAACATCGCCAGTAAAAGTAATCAGACCATTCAGACTTACTCCTATTTCAGGTGGGGCGCCCTTTTTTTAAAAGGTTTCTTATATTATATATAATAAAACATTCTTATATCAAACAAGCCAGTGCACTGTTTTAGATCTTTACAGTTCAAGGTATCCGCTAAAGTTTCTTTTTGAGTGCAAGATTGGTTAAAGTTTCTTTGTCAATTAGTCTAGAATTACAGATATTTAGATTTAAAATCTAATTTCAGTGAGTTTATACGAGGGTCTGCAGTGAATATACCTGTCTATCCAACACTAGGAATAGACGACAGACCCGCACTTCATTCTAAACTATTTTATGCTGAACTTTATGCGTGAGTGCCTTGTCAATAGCTTCCATAATTATAAGTATACCATTTGCACAGTGGGCACAGTTTGATTTGCCTGACACTGTTCATAGAGCTAACTAATGATTATTCTTGCTGTGTAGTTAGTAACTATAGTAACGGTAACTACTAGTTACCGTGTGTAGTTAGTAACTATAGTAACGGTAACTACTAGTTACCGTGTGTAGTTAGTAACTATAGTAACGTTAACTACTAGTTACCGTGTGTAGTTAGTAACTATAGTAACGGTAACTACTAGTTACCGTGTGTAGTTAGTAACTATAGTAACGGTAACTACTAGTTACCGTGGTTATACTCAGTAAACTGTACTCCTATAGAACGTGGATTGATCTGATCGACTGTTTTGGGTGTCCTTTAGCTGCAGATGATGACACTGTCAAAGAAACTATTACTGCAGGCGGTTACTACGCTATATCCACTAACTATGGTGCTAAGTGAGTCTAGTTTATTATACTGCACCCATTAATTTAGTTTAAAAACTATAAAATTTCGATCCTGGAAATTTCATCTTAAAAAACTGAAAATGGGACAGAGATTTGGACAATATGATTTTGCAATTTTATTCGGGATTTTGACTCCCAGTACCTCAATTTGGTTTCATACCGTCATCAATTAACTGACCAATTAGTTTCTGGGCAAATATTTCATCCAATCTGTCAAATTTGTACATTCAGAAAATTTCATATTTGAAAATGGGACAGACTTTTAAAAGTAAAACTTTTCGTTTTGTTAAGCTTTCTGTTGTGGGCTTCTTCCGACCGAAATCAAACTTCCAGCACCAATCACAATACAATATCAGCACCATAGTCCATATAATATCAGCTTTTATTTAAATTTAACACACTTCTTTTCAGGATCATATCTCTAAATACTAATCTGTTTCTAAAGAATGCGTCTTTTGAAGAGAAAGCCGAAGCTGAAGCCCAAATTGTATGGTTAGAGAAAGTTCTCCTGGCTTCCTCATTCGATTCAACAAAAGCCAAGGTATTTACTCAGTACTCCTGGCTTCCTCATTCGATTCAACAAAAGCCAAGGTATTTACTCAGTACTCCTGGCTTCCTCATTCGATTCAACAAAAGCCAAGGTATTTACTCAGTACTCCTGGCTTCCTCATTCGATTCAACAAAAGCCAAGGTGTTTACTCAGTTTCAGGTTTTCAGATTTATAACTTCAACAGAATAGCTTAGACCTCCCTAGTATAGATGTAAGTGGATAAAGATTCTGGATATTTCAGATATTTTTCCAACCATATCATTACTCAGATGCTGATAGGGGGTTCAGCGCCAGGATACAGTACAAAAGAGATATGGAGGAGAAAAGAAGGCTCCTCAGATCCACTCAGAGCGGAATGGGATCCAGTCTTCTTCAGAAAGTTTACCAATCTCATGGTCACTCATGTATTCAGGTGAGAGTGACAGTAACCTAGCAACCTGGTAACCTGGTAACCTGGTAACCTGGTAACCTGGTAACCTGGTAAACTAGTGTGTGTTACACTCATGTATTCAGGTGAGAGTGACAGTAACCTAGCAACCTGTTAAACTAGTGTGTGTTAAAGTTTAACGTATATTTGAAGCAAGTGCTTCTTTGTATATTATAATTTGATCGCTGGTCAAAAATTCAATCAAAACTGGCAACCGCGAAATTTCGGTCGAGACGACAGAGAAGCAAGCTTCTTTTCAAAATTCTTCCAAAATCTCATTAAATATAGATGGTTTTCCATTTATCAAAGATTTATTTTGGAATTGAACTTTGAGTACCACAATCGTGTCTTGCGCCGTCCTTAGATACTTTGCTAGATAGTCATTCAAGAAAAATTCAGTCAAAACAGTAAAATTTGGGTCGTGGGATAGAAAGCCGAAATTCGAATATGTCCTACCGGTAAAATGTTGAACTAGTACGACTACTTGATAAACAGTACATGTTTCAGATGGTCTGCAATATTTATGGGAGGAGTAGAGTTTGAACTAGTACGACTACTTGATAAACAGTACATGTTTCAGATGGTCTGCAATATTTATGGGAGGAGTAGAGTTTGAACTAGTACGACTACTTGATAAACAGTACATGTTTCAGATGGTCTGCAATATTTATGGGAGGAGTAGAGTTTGAACTAGTACGACTACTTGATAAACAGTACATGTTTCAGATGGTCTGCAATATTTATGGGAGGAGTAGAGTTTGAGCTAGTGCGACTACTTGATAAACAGTACATGTTTCAGATGGTCTGCAATATTTATGGGAGGAGTAGAGTTTGAACTAGTACGACTACTTGATAAACAGTACATGTTTCAGATGGTCTGCAATATTTATGGGAGGAGTAGAGTTTGAACTAGTACGACTTCTTGATAAACAGTACATGTTTCAGATGGTCTGCAATATTTATGGGAGGAGTAGAGTTTGAACTAGTACGACTACTTGATAAACAGTACATGTTTCAGATGGTCTGCAATATTTATGGGAGGAGTAGAGTTTGAACTAGTACGACTACTTGATAAACAGTACATGTTTCAGATGGTCTGCAATATTTATGGGAGGAGTAGAGTTTGAACTAGTGCGACTACTTGATAAACAGTACATGTTTCAGATGGTCTGCAATATTTATGGGAGGAGTAGAGTTTGAACTAGTACGACTACTTGATAAACAGTACATGTTTCAGATGGTCTGCAATATTTATGGGAGGAGTAGAGTTTGAACTAGTACGACTACTTGATAAACAGTACATGTTTCAGATGGTCTGCAATATTTATGGGAGGAGTAGAGTTTGAACTAGTGCGACTACTTGATAAACAGTACATGTTTCAGATGGTCTGCAATATTTATGGGAGGAGTAGAGTTTGAACTAGTACGACTACTTGATAAACAGTACATGTTTCAGATGGTCTGCAATATTTATGGGAGGAGTAGAGTTTGAACTAGTACGACTACTTGATAAACAGTACATGTTTCAGATGGTCTGCAATATTTATGGGAGGAGTAGAGTTTGAACTAGTACGACTACTTGATAAACAGTACATGTTCCTGATCGCCTAAGTGTGATTGAAACTGTCAAATAATAAGTATGTATATAATTTAAATGTTTTCAAATAACAGATAACGTCGCAAACTCTTAAGATACTCAACATATAATGATCGGTGTCAGAAGAGCATGGTATTACTTCACTGTATAACTCACGTAAACATCTTTGTATTTGCATTTTTGTTGTTAACAGAGGTCCCACTTAATTGAGAACAAATAAAAATTAATGTGATATCTGAACTTTTATTTGACAGAACAGGACACAAGTTTCATCAATTAAAAGATTACTTTACAGTACAAAATCGTAAAGAAATGCATTACAGATATTCAAGGCATCATGCTAACATTGCTAATATTAGATGAAAGGTTTGGCAGCGGTAACATTACTTTTTGTAAGTCAGCAGATGGGTTAACAACGTTTGTTATCTTTCTTAGTAAGTCTCCAGTGTATCTAAAATATCGTCGCTTTCTTCCACTGTCTCCATTTTTTAAATGTATGTTGTAAATAATGATCAAATAATAAATGTGGATATGCATACATGCATTAGTGCAGAATTGCAATACCCTCTAACCCAGTCGATGAAACCTTTCAGTAATAACAAGGGTGGGTTAGTTAGCAGCGAGGTAAACTCTCGTTTCTTTGACTGTGTCATCATCTGCAGCTAAAGGACACCCAAAACAGCCGATCAGATCAATCCACGTTCTGTAGGAGACGACTTATAGTTTACTGAGTATAAACACGGTAACTAGTAGTTACCGTTACTATAGTTACTAACTACACACGGTAACTAGTAGTTACCGCTACTATAGTTACTAACTACACACGGTAACTAGTATAGTAGTTACCGTTACTATAGTTACTAACTACACACGGTAACTAGTAGTTACCGTTACTATAGTTACTAACTACACACGGTAACTAGTAGTTACCGTTACTATAGTTACTAACTACACAGCAAGAATAATCATAAGTTAGCTCTATGAACAGTGTCAGGCGAATCAAACTGTGCCCACTGTGCAAATGGTATACTTATAATTATGGAAGCTATTGACAAGGCACTCACGCATAAAGTTCAGCATAGAATAGTTTAGAATGAAGTGCGGGTCTGTCGTCTATTCCTAGTGTTGGATAAACAGGTATATTCACTGCAGACCCTCGTATAAACTCACTGAAATATAAACAGGTGTTACTAGGTTACTAGGTTACTAGGTTACTAAGTAACTAGGTTACTAGGTTACTAAGTAACTAGTGTTGGATAAACAGGTATATTCACTGCAGACCCTCGTATAAACTCGCTGAAATATAAACAGGTGTTACTAGGTTACTAGGTTACTAGGTTACTAGGTTAAGTTAGTTTACTAGGTTACTAAGTAACTAGTGTTGGATAAACAGGTATATTCACTGCAGACCCTCGTATAAACTCACTGAAATATAAACAGGTGTTACTAGGTTACTAGGTTACTAGGTTACTAGGTTACTAAGTAACTAGTGTTGGATAAACAGGTATATTCACTGCAGACCCTCGTATAAACTCACTGAAATATAAACAGGTGTTACTAGGTTACTAGGTTACTAGGTTACTAGGTTACTAAGTAACTAGTGTTGGATAAACAGGTATATTCACTGCAGACCCTCGTATAAACTCACTGAAATTAGATTTTAAATCTAAATATCTGTAATTCTAGACTAATTGACAAAGAAACTTTAACCAATCTTGCACTCAAAAAGAAACTTTAGCGGATACCTTGAACTGTAAAGATCTAAAACAGTGCACTGGTTTACAATTTACATAGCTTGATTGATATAAGAATGTTTTGCTTCCAAATAAGAAACCTTTTAAAAAAAGGGCGCCTCACCTGAAATAGGAGTAAGTCTGAATGGTCTGATTACTTTTACTGGCGATGTTTCCCAAGTAAAGTATAAACTTTGTGTTTACATACATTCTGAGGACCTTAACAAAGGAAACAAAGGTAGCGTTCAGTAGTTTGGGGGTGTTAGGACAGCAGAGACAACTATACTCCGTCTCGTAACTGCAGCACTTCTCCGAACTCAGGTCCAGCTGGAAGTCTGACACAACACCAAATGAGTAGGAGCTGGTGTAGTTCGTGTACGGGCTCTGTAGAAACTTGTTTTCAGTGAGAAGTTTTGCTATTGCTATGGAAACGCATACACAACCAGCCACCAGGATACATGATAGAAACCCGCATATTTTAGAGGTGGAGAAGATTGAGGGATTATGTTTTATCGCAATCTCCTGGTCCTCCAGAGGCGAGTACTTTATATTTGCCATGAGCAGGTTCACATCACCATGGGAACAGGTTCATCATACCATTTTCAACTGTAACACAAAGAATTAAACCACAACTGCTTGTAATATCTTTATTGCAACTTCATTGAGATTACGATTATTATATTATTTAAACTTAAATAGTGGTAATTTTGACAGATTATTTGCATGGAATATAATGGATATTTCAGCAAGATTGAAAATGAAAAAAAGGCAAGATAGAAAAATTAAAAAATACAATAAGAACATAACATTTACATTTAATTATGTAAATCATTGCATGCACACCTAGAAAAATCATATGTTCGGTCTTAAGATAAATCTAGAAATAATCGTTAAATAATTTCGACAAAAAGCAAACCCTTAATTTATAACTATGTATACTTATTTTGATATTTTCAGGGATTTTTAAAGACCTGTGGAATTTGGCGTTCTATGCAAAGCCTTGTGAATTGATAAATTGAGAGTTTACTGCATCAAACTAAGATCATAAAACTTACAAAATCAATCATTTGTATATTATATTACATGCAAAACAATCTAATATACTTTTATGTTTAGAAACTAAAACTTTATGACAGTATTTAACTACAAACATGCAGAATTACTTTTGATTTTTTAAACTTTTTATTATCATTGAATAATCAATACTTTAGAGTAATTGATAATAATACCAATGTTAAATCCTACGAGATTATGATAGATATTTTGAGTGCTAATAGTATATCAAAAAAATATTTAATTATAACGTGAAACATGGATAAAAAATGATTGCAATGTCTTATCAAGTCACACAAAATACACTGTTTCAATACTGGTTGAACCCTCTGATTCAATGACGCTGTTTTAGAGTAATCATAATCTCTGTAGAGGGATGAGTCACCAGTCCATGTACAGGCTCTATCTTTTGCCCATCAACCAGTCCAATCTCGAACTTCCTCACCATCGCTGCAATGCAAACTGCTGCCTCCATATTTGCAAACCTATGACCAGGACAGATCCTCTTACCAACACCAAACGGCTGAAAAGCTGTGCTTGGCCGGTTTTTGATGTTTTCTGGACTAAATCTGTCTGGATCAAATTTGCTAGGCTCAGGAAAGTATTCAGGATTTTGAAGGCTAACACCCAGAGCATGGACTATGGGAGTTCCTCCAGGAATTGGGTAACCCCCAAGCAGTATGTCTTCATCAAGATACCGAGCTGCAAATGGAGCCAGCACGGAGCACCTTAGTGTTTCATCAAACTCCTGCTTCAAATACACACATTTGTTTATGCTGGAGATGCCTATTGAATCATGCTTTCCACAATGTTCTGATATTTCCGCATGAAGTTTATCTTGTACAGCACTATTACCAGCTATGAAATAGAAACCCCAGGCCAGAGAATTAGCAGTGGTGTGGAACCCTCCGACAACATAGGTTATTGCATCACTCAGTAGGGTGTCTTCATCTGCGCAGTGTCTAATCAGGATATCAATAAACCTCTCATTTTCTTCTGTTATCTCCAGCTTCTCTCTGATTTCAACAACTCCTTTAACAAAATCTTTTGCCCCATTTAATGCTGTCTGGAAGTTCTCTTCTTGCTCACTGCCGGGTTCTGGAAATTTTCCTCCCAACCGGGACTCCATTTCTGACCAGCAGACGTTGTAATTGTTATGAAATTCAGTAATCTTCGAATCATCTGATACATTGCCAAATAATGTCATCAGATCGACCTTCAGTGCAAATGTAGCCATATGTGTACAGAGAGCATGCTCACTAATACCTCCTTCCATATCTTTACAAAGCATATCAATTATTTCATTGACAGCTGCATTGAACTCCCCCAAGTAACGAGTAACCGCTTTATGTGACATTGAACGATCGTACTCTTTCCTTCTACCTTTCCCATCATCCTTATTAGCATATTGTAACGAATTTGGGCCAATGAATGGTTCAAACAATTGAAAAAGTAACAATGGGCGGTCAAATACACTTTGCTGTTCTTTGAACATCTCTGGAGATGAAATGGATACAATTTGCTGAGTCCCAAACCAGAAAGATGCAATTTTTCCGTACTTATCATGCAAACCAACCAAAAATTGATGTAAACTCCCTGCCCGACCTAAGTCTTCTAAATTTCCCATGTCTTTTGAACTAGGTTCCATTCCAGGGATTTGTTTATCTTTTTTAGTCAAGAAGATCTTCTTAATGACGTATGCCAGAAAGAATCCAACAATCAATTGCAAATAGAAATTCATTGTGTTCTTCAATTTAAGCTGTGGGGAGAATCATACGTTAGGTTTGGTTTAATTATGAATGGTTTAATTGTGATTCACTAATCACAGTTCAAACAAATAGGAGCAAACAAATTTCTGAACTTTTAATATAACAAAAAATAACTCTAGTTGCTGGGGAATGCCTAAATCGTACTGGGACAAACTAGATGCATGTCACCGTAACCACCTCAGAAAGATCATGAATGTCAGCTGGCCACGCAGTATGATGTCCAAAGATACCCTCTACAAACAGAGTAACTCTATCCCTATGTCTAAGCGTGCTGAGTTATCTAGGTGGAAGATGCTAGGACACATACTGAGGAGCGATGAAAGATCACCAGCTCAAGCTGCGCTGTGTTTTGCTGTCGAGATGTGTAGTGAAGTTGGTAGACTCGGGGCTCACAGACGTAACCTCCTACACCACCTGAAGGTTGACCTCTGGAAGCGTTTCATCTTGCTGGAGTCGTATGATGATATTCTCCATTTGAGAGAACTTGCTAGTGACCGTGGTTATTGGAGTAAATTGTTTAACTTTATACTTGAGTACAAGTCAATTTGACTATTGGGACATATAATTTTACAAAGGATCACGTTTCGGTTCTAAATTATTTTAGGATTGTTGACATTTGTAAGATTGACATGTTTGATAATAAAAAATAACCATTTGCATTCTTAGCCACATTTACGTCACATTACATTGTACATCATTTAAAAAAGCCCTTATATATATCAGATGCGAGCAGCAAACCAAAGGCCCTCTCTAGCCCCGCTCTGCAGGGGGAGGGGCGCCTTAAGGGGAGATACACCAAAAACGTTTTTGCTCCGAACATCGATTTTATTTTATATTATGGTTAAATAGACAAAAAGAATAAAATTGCACACCTTCAAAATTTTCTAAAAATAGTCCCTCATCGAGAAAAAATATATTTTTCTTTTTCGAAAATTTTTAAAATTTGGAGAAGTCTGTCACTGTAATACCGATAGTTTGGCCATTTTAAAAGTTTTGTGGCTGATTTTTTAACTGAACATTATTTACAATCCGTACAAGAAGCCCTTCAAAGGATTTTATAATTAAAATATACTGTAGATGACGAAGAGAAGCAAAATTGAAATTTTTGTAAAACTCAAAATTGAGAGAAATCCTGTTCCAAAAAGTTGAATATGATCATCAGCTACACTCACAAGAACTTTTGAAGCGATATCTTATGACCTGGGTGAATGGTAAAATTTACAACTTTGATTTTTACAAAAATTTCAATTTTGCTTCTCTCGACCTTGTTTGGTCTGTAACTTCGTCATCTATATTTTAATTATAAAATCCTTTGAAGGGCTTCTTGTACGAATTGTAAATAATGTTCAGTTAAAAAAATCAGCCAAAAAACTTTTAAAATGGCCGAACTATCAAAATCGCTTGCGCAATACTTGTCATACGTTGTATGACCCGCCGCGCACGAAGTGCGCGGCTCCCATAGTGAAACGACCGTGGGGGTCGCAACGTGATACAAATCATGAGCGGCTGTAGAGATATCGGGCCCTTTGACAGCGGGCTGGTGAGAGCCCGCTATGCGAAAAAGCGCACGCTGGTGGATGCAGATAACAATGCTGTGCTCGCTTCAACACGTGCTGTAAACATTGGACACGAGCCAAGAACACTCCACGGAGGAGCTGAGGAGGAGTGTGTACCAGGCAGCAATACCGGGTGTCTTGAGATGTGTGGACGACACTAAACACACCTCTGTGAGAAGCCTGGCACTGAAACTGACCGCTCTTATCTTCAACTCCTGTAAAACTGAAGGAGTAGTTGTAGCCTGTAGGCACTGAGATTGTTAAGAACGTGTTATTGCATGTTAGGGATCAGGTGAGTTTGGAGGGGAACCAGAACTTGAAATCTCAGGGTATTGAAATCGTGAGTTTACTTGAGAAACATTTCGTGGCCAGTTGAATCTAAGAAGGCCATTTACCATAAATATAATCTATGAAATATGTTTACACCTGACATTTATAAATACCAGAAACGTTCGTAGTATACAGTGCGCTAAATTAGTAAGAGCCTATATAGTGTGTAGTAGTTCTCATTAAGTGTTACTACGATTCTCGGTTTTACTTTACTTGCTTGGTTTATTACATCAGTTTTTCAATTTGATCTTTAATACAATAATTTGTTTACATCAAAATACTAAATTAATACAGTATAGCTGTAGACAACCATCTCTTTTATTTGCCCCCACGTGCATATCCCTTGTGCTCCGCGTGTGGAAAGGGAAACCAGAAATTGGTGACGAAATACCCAATTAGAGCTAGTACAAGGATATCTCGTGTACAGATCATATGCACCTGTTGCCTCCAGTTGCCAAACCAAGGTCGCTATAATTGAGCGCGAAGTGACATTAAGTGACCGGTGAGCCAGACTCCTTGTCAAATTATGTTTTGAATTACGACCCAATCATAAGGTAAAAAGTGTAAGCTGACGGAAGAAGACGGAAGAAGACGGAGACCTTCACCATACAGAGCCTTCCCCAGGAGTCAGCTGTGTTACTGTTGGGCGTGGGATGGAGGGTCTGCCAAAACAAGTCCGATAAGATTGTGGAGCTGTGCGAGTTCCTGGCTGGGAATATGAGGATCTGCACGTGGAAGATACAGATAACAATGCTGTGCTCGCTTCAACACGTGCTGCAAACATTGGACACGAGCCAAGAACACTCCACGGAGGAGCTGAGGAGGAGTGTGTACCAGGCAGCAATACCGGGTGTGTTGAGATGTGTGGACGACACTAAACACACCTCTGTGAGAAGCCTGGCGCTGAAACTGACCGCTCTTATCTTCAACTCCTGTAAAACTGAAGGAGTAGTTGTGGGCACTGAGATTGTTAAGAACGTGTTATTGCATGTTAGGGATCAGGTGAGTTTGGAGGGGAACCAGAACTTGAAATCTCAGGGTATTGAAATCGTGAGTTTACTTGAGAAACATTTCGTGGCCAGTTGAATCTAACAAGGCCATTTACCATAAATATAATCTATGAAATATGTTTACACCTGACATTTATAAATACCAGAAACGTTCGTAGTATACAGTGCAATAAATTAGTAAGAGCCTATATAGTGTGTAGTAGTTCTCATTGAATGTTACTGAGATTCTCGGTTTTACTTTACTTGTTTGGTTTATTACATCAGTTTTTCAATTTGATCTTTAATACAATAATTTGTTTACATCAAAATACTAAATTAATACAGTATAGCTGTAGACAACCATCTCTTTTATTTGCCCCCACGTGCATATCCCTTGTGCTCCGCGTGTGGAAAGGGAAACCAGAAATTGGTGACGAAATACCCAATTAGAGCTAGTACAAGGATATCTCGTGTACAGATCATATGCACCTGTTGCCTCCAGTCGCCAGACCAAGGTCGCTATAATTGAGCGCTAAGTGACATTAAGTGATCGGTGAGCCAGACTCCTTGTCAAATTATGTTTTGAATTACGACCCAATCATAAGGTAAAAAGTGTAAGCTGACGGAAGAAGACGGAAGAAGACGGAGACCTTCACCATACAGAGCCTTCCTCAGGAGTCAGCTGTGTTACTGTTGGGCGTGGGATGGAGGGTCTGCCAAAGCAAGTCCGATAAGATTGTGGAGCTGTGCGAGTTCCTGGCTGGGAATATGAGGATCTGCACGTGGAAGATACAGATAACAATGCTGTGCTCGCTTCAACACGTGCTGCAAACATTGGACACGAGCCAAGAACACTCCACGGAGGAGCTGAGGAGGAGTGTGTACCAGGCAGCAATACCGGGTGTCTTGAGATGTGTGGACGACACTAAACACACCTCTGTGAGAAGCCTGGCACTGAAACTAACCGCTCTTATCTTCAACTCCTGTAAAACTGAAGGAGTAGTTGTGGGCACTGAGATTGTTAAGAACGTGTTATTGCATGTTAGGGATCAGGTGAGTTTGGAGGGGAACCAGAACTTGAAATCTCAGGGTATTGAAATCGTGAGTTTACTTGAGAAACATTTCGTGGCCAGTTGAATCTAACAAGGCCATTTACCATAAATATAATCTATGAAATATGTTTACACCTGACATTTATAATAACATAAACCCGCCACGCAAAGGGTTTATATAACAGATCATCGCAGCGCACGAGTTTTGTGTTAATATGTAATCCCGAAGCGCCAGCTGAGGGATTACATTTATTTAGCCCTGAGCGTGAAGTGTTTATGGATTATAATTATCTCCGGCGATTTCGACAAGGGATTTATACTTTAGAAGAGAGTGATAATGTAGTTGAGTCGTTGAACAGGAATTTGGTCAAAGTCATTGAAGTCACGAGCAAATCTGGATGACTGAAGCCAAGAATTAAATTTGTTTAGAGCCCAGTTGTTGACTCTAACTGTACTGTCCGGAACACGATTGGAAAGCAGTTCATCAATCTGAATGTCAAACCGATCTGTCATAGTGGAGCAATAGCTTGAACGTTAGCAGGAACAAGAGCTGGAAGGAGAGCAAGCAAAACAATACTATTTTTAGGGCACGGACAAGGGTAGCTGGCTAGTCGCCAAC